CTGATTTGCTAACAGATAATACGCTATTTATACCTAATCGAAGTTGGTCTTTTCCGCCGTGTCAGCGGTTGCGAACGGCAGCAGTGAAGACGGCGGGTGCGTAGACGGCTGACGGAAGCAGTGGCTTGAGTGCAATGAACGCCACGGCAGTGTCGTAATATATTAATGCGATGTATGGCGATGCAAAAGTCAGGTCAGCACTTACGGACTTGTGGCACTAGGTTAGCGAATCTGGCTGACTTTGTAATATTTGCTAGCATGCAATATTTAGTGCATATCTGGCCTAATTTGTATTATTGGCTAATATGCGGATTCGTATTTATTTTTTTGTATACATATTATTGATCAGGGTGACAAGTCGAGTCGATATCGCCATGTTCGCCTGTCCGTCCGTCAGGACGAGCGCAAGGATCTCAGGAAGTACAAGAGCTAGAATAACCAAACTTGGTATCGATGTTCCCCTAAGTCCTAGGCAGGTCAAGTTTATTTTTTTATTCTGATACACCACACAACCAAGTGTGGCCAGAGGCGTCAATAGATCTAACGGTATAAAAAAACAAGTAAAAAAGCTAAAGTCGGGTGTCCCGACTTTGAAATACTCTGTACACATGTTTACAATAATTATATAAATTAAGAAAAATTAAGAACATTAAAAAAAAATGTTGGCCGATTTTACCTTTCTCGGTATTTGAACTCACGTAAAGGGTGTAAATTGCACATTTACATAGCAATTGCGTCTGTGTGAGTGTATGTATGCCTATGCGCATCTATTCGTGTCTGTGTAAACATGTTAGCAGTCAACCAAACAGCAACATCAACAACAGCCAATATATTTATGGCTGTAACTTCTTGCTTAATCGGTCTATCATAGTGAAACTTGGCATACGGACACATAATTACTAACTGGGGGTATTTGCAATATTTTAGTTCGAAATTCCAAGAATTACGGGAGTTAGAGAAAATCGCGATTTGCGGTGGAGAGGGAGGAGGGAGGGAAATTCCAAAATATACATTTTCTGCGTATTCACATAAGGCATCTTGGACTAATATTTGGTGTTCCTAGGTCTTATAGTCTCTTAGATATAGGCGATTATACGAATGGAAAATCGGGAAAATCCCCATAGGGGGGAAGTGGGGGGGAAAATCAAAAAAATAAAACAAACTTGCACAGCGTACACACATAAGGCATCTTTGTGCAAAGTTTGGTGTCTCTACCTCTTATATGTAGTCTCTGAGATCCAGGTGTTCATACGGACGGACAGACTGACAGACAGGGCTAGATCGACTCGTCCCGTAATGCTGATCAAGAATATATATACTTTGTGGGGTCTGCCACGCCTCCTTCTGCCTGTTACATTTTTCAGCTCCCGCAAACCTAATATACTTCTGTACATTTCATGTACAGAGTATAAAAAGAAAAACTTAACAGAGAGAAGAAGCTTACAATTACTTAAAAGCTAATTTTAAAAAGAAAAAAGTAAGAAGTAAAAGGAAAAAAATGGGAATCTCAGACCCGGTGGGGGAAGAAGAAGAATTTTTTAGCCAGTCCGGCAAGCTATGCCCCATCTCACAGCCGATCCTGGTCAGAGATTCCGGAGATGGCTGAAAAGAGAGACTTGTATTATAGGAAGAGACAGTTCAGTTGAGAGCAGGGGAAAATACTTATTATAAGATGAGCATAAAACCCGAAAAGGATTCTGCGATGCATAATCGTTGTGCACCTACTAAGGAAAAGGGGAAGATAATTTCTTGTCGTTCTGGAAGGAACTGAGAAATTAAGACGACTTAAAAGAAAAGGAGAATCAACACTACTGGCAATCAGTTTGTGGACAAATACAGCTCCAAGAACAGTCCTCCGATGACGGAAGATTAATAAGCAGAAGTCTGCTCGAGTAAAGGAAGGTTCTCTTGCGCTATATTTTATATGTTCCATACGCGCCTGAGATCTAGCATAAGCATTGTTTGCTTATTCATTATATGACTTTTGAAATCGAAGCCTAGCTGTGCAGTTCTTTATCGAAATTCTTTAGACTATTCGGTGCTCGTCGGCATCTATGAGCCACACAGCAATTGACTGAGTTACTAAATGCATCAGAATGTATGATAATCACTCTGACGGAACCGGCACTCTGGGAACCACTACAGTCACTGATTTCATGGGTGTGGACTAAAAAGGAGAACCCAAGTGTAAGGAGAACCTTCATTAAAATCAGCGAGCTTACTTGCTCACTAAACGATGCCCATTACTCTCCACTGGTGCATTCCAAATTAATCTCACGAGTACTGGAAGCATGTCCGGGCTCTGGATCCCTGGAGAACACAGAACCTGTAAGGCAACCTTAAGTTATTAAGCAGCCACAATCAATAACATTTAATACGGACCAAGGTCCCAGGGTGGAGCAACAAGCATAATTCACCACTTGGGAAAACGCATTAGTTGAAGACACTAAGCCCGTACCATTAAGCAACAATCATCACCACCATTGACAAATACCGCCTTCTCTCTGGCGAACACCGCAGCCATCAAAGCGGCAGCACGTGCCAGACCGAGAGCCGACAGCCAAACCGCATCAGTAACAGGAATTAAAATAAGCAAGCAAATATTAAATACACCGGCACATACACATACAATTTTACTTTCACTTAACACTCTTCATATGGTAAGTCGAAAGAAAGAAGCAAACTACATTAAGAAACGGTAAAGGAGCAAGCTCCAAATAATTTCTTTTAGAAACAGCAAAACGCCGGCTGAAATGCTGACGCGGTATATATGGTATATATATAATATTTATACAAAGCCGACAGTTCAGTGCACCTGCCTGATACATGAAATGGCCATCCTTGCACTAAGCATACTATAAATAAATGAAATTGCAAGTAATAACCATATTCACGTACCACGCATTTACATTTCACCAACGCTACGCAAACAAGCATTCAATATAATAGTTTGGCAAATGTATAAGACAAATATATATTCTTTCTGATCAACACAGCGTTTACTTTGCAGACAGCCAAGTCAGTGCATTGATGTTCAAAAATACGAATAGATTAGTTAAGTGCTCTGTAAGATCAGGTAGATCAGCAATAATAACAATAGCATAGCAATACATAAGCAGTTTCCATCTTCAGAAGTCAATGTATCAGCAGATTTCTAGTACAATGCTAAATTCTTTGCACGGGTGAAACATTGCAACATCACTGATCAGTCTCTGCTCAATATAATGATAATGATGATGATAATGATCACTAGAAATGTGTCATAAAAATAGTGATACATTTTTGATCACTTTTGATCAGCTGCATACACATATGTATGTATGTATTTGTTTGTGCATTTGCAAGTACGTTGAAAATGGAAGTTGCTTTGTTTCTAAATGAATTTAATGAAAACGATTTTGATATGAACAACAGTATTGTTGCGATCTTAAAAGTTCAAGTATATATAAAAACAAGTAGAGAAGATAAAGTTCGTGGGGCCCGACTTTAAAATACTCTGTGTGTAGATATGTGTAGAATAATTATGAGTGTATGTGTGTTTGTGTGTGTGGCTGTGTATGTCTCGTGTGCCTGTGCAAAGCAGTATCAACAACAATAGCTGCAGGCACTTCTTGGCCATGACATGAATGGCTATAACTTCCGAATTTCAATCAAAAATTCCAAGAAATACGGGAGTTATGGAAAATCACTAATTGCGGGGGAGAGTGGGCAGGGAGGGAAATTCCAAAATACACATTTTCTGCGTATTCACATAAGGCATCTGTGACTGTGTGAGCTAACTTGATGCTGCAGCTTGTAAGCGCAGTACTGGAGTGTATATAATTTTATGTATGTATATACATAAATTATGTTTGCAGCTTGTTTTATGTAGGTTTCAAAATGTGGACAGTATTGACGAAATTCTGTAGCGGGGAGCGAAAATTCATAAAAGTTTAATAAACTCGTATAGACTAGGCACTCTACATATCAGGCGTTCATCCAGACAAACAGACGAACATGTCTAGATCGATTTCTCTCGTCATGCTGATTCAGAATATATGTACATATGTATGTATATATTTTAATCTGTGTGTTACAGACTTTGCACAAACCTAATATACACTTTTTTCCCTAAGGGTACAGGGTATAAAAAGTGTAGGGCAATTATTTGCAACCCACATTTGTTCAAAATAACCTTTTTAACTATCTATGTATGTATGTATACTTAGTGTCACAGTGTTCTAGCTGCGTTTACACATTATTCTAAACAAGCATTGGAAACTGATTTTTTGCTTTCAAACAAGAAAAAAAGGACCACATCCAAGATGACCAAGAAAATCAACTGATGAACAAAAAATTACGCAAATTAGAGAATTGGAGCTCTTACTTCGTCAATTTATAGATTAAGACATTGATGACCCTGATCGTTTATGTTATTGATAAGTCAACACCAATTTAAGAAAACTTTTGTGCGTCCTAAAATTCTAATTTTGTTGGGTTCAAATACATTGCACAACTACACTTGTTTTTTGTGACCATGTCGCCAAAAACAAGACCTATGTGCACATATATTTAATATATATGTACATACATATGTAACATACATGTATTAACCTTGCGGAATTCGTTTTAACACGATTGAGGATATTTAAGCCAAATCGAACAAGGTACTAAAGATCATTCCAGAACATGTTGCGTTGCATTCGGAGATTACTTTTAAGGCGATAAAATAGATTTTAATGAATAAATACGCATTTTTAAAGTTATAATCAATAGCGCTGGTTCATATTTCTACACATTAATAATAAATAGTGGCTACCATTATTTCGTGTACCTGTACCCTTTACACTAAGGGATATAATAAGTCCGATAATCTACGTTGTTATTATAACCAGACAATATAAATATGTATTTTTTGTGAGAATGTCCAGTGCAATAAAAAGTCTCGATACTAATCAGAGGTTAGTTATCGCTGATAAGTATTCAATGATATATGTATAAAGTGATTCCACTGTCGAAAGTTCTTATTAGGCGAGTTGGATATTTCCGCTGTTTAATTTCAGTGTTTTAACAATTAAAATTCATTTTAATTTACTTAAGTTTCGAAAAGAGACTGTGCGCCACGCAGTGGTCCAATTCAGCCACATAGTCAAACAGCTCTTCCATGCACGTCTCCGTAGTCTTGGAGCGGCTGTTAACACGATCATTGCACTCTTGGTACTTGGTATACAGTGATTCGATATGACCTTTGGTCTGGCACTTTTCCTTTTCAAGTAGAGTAAAATGCAATTTATATATATTTGTTAAATATTTAGTAAGATGTTTACCCTTAAAGCAGTTTGAGGGTCCACAAGATCTTCTTCGTCATCCGCCTTGACAACGGGAAATGACATAAATTCAATCAATTTATTGAAGGCCATTATTTTTATCAAACTGGTGCAGTTGTAAGCCCTGCAAGAATAGTTGTTTTTGATATTTTATGTAAAGTACAAAGCATACTTATGAAAAACATTCACAAACGCATATTTATGCTATTATATAATATAATTACACAAATTGAATGTAAATAAATCAATCACTTTAACTTCATAAAAATAAATATTTGTTACGTAATAGATATGCAGCTGCTTCAAAAACTCAATTTAATTCAACAGAAAAATTTACCAATCCTTTTACCTCAAATGCGTTAGAAGGCCCAAAAAATGAAATATTAATGTATCGACCTAGAGGTGTACGACAAATTTCGATATTTAAAAAATACATTCTTAATAAATACTGCGAAATTACTACTAATTCTGGGCAGTAGTCCGGCAAACAATGTATACGAAATTTTAATTTGTTGTTTTCAAGGTTCCATGGCATAGCGAATAAATAACTTCCGACTACATTTGAATTTAACAGATAAGATACAGTATATTCGTTAAATTTTACATGTTTAAAACTCCACATAAAATAACTCTGTCCTGCTTTGATTATGTTACTGCACGGATTTTACTGTAACTTCAGAATATGATACGGCATTCTTAAATACCGAATTGGACTATCATATCTTAAACAAAAAGGTATCTTAATAAAAAATACGTTTACACCGCTTGTTTGTATAACATGAGTTAGACAAGTGCACATGCCAGTAATAGATTGGTAATATATAGTTCTTGAAATACATATTTCACTAAAAGTACTGAGAATTTTAAGAGCAGAAATGTTGAGCACAGGCATATATGTAGGTCATATTTATTGGTTGGTCGATGGTACTCTTACCAAACGCTCCAGACCAGGCACCAAAATCCATGTGATTCTTGACGATACCTTAACATGCTCATGCTTCGCAAAAAATTCATATTTATCGACAGCGATTGGGGATTCCCATCCCTATCACAGCCTCGTTTTATGTGTATATTATACATGCTTCGATTTGCATTTGTATATATTAAAGTCGTTTAAGTATCAACGTTAAGCGCATTATTATTGTTTCTTCGTAAGTTTTGATATTGAGACAAAGCAGGCGTAGATGGATTACTGTTTCACAATTATTGCTACGGCATTTACACTATCATATTTCGTTCTATGTACGATTGATAATGCTTAGTCCTAAGCCCGCCGTATCACCGGAGAGGCTCTGTTTAAGTAAAATGATTGTAAGGCGAAACCGCTAACGGTTAACAATCAAGTAAAATATGTTATTTATATAATATAATATATTTTAATTATTACCATTTAATTTTTAGAAAGATTCTTTGGACGTACTGAAAGGCTGCAAACATGGATGGTAGTGGTAATTACTTACGCACATCTGCAAATTCTATGATGAACGGCAGTGGAGCTGCGGAAGAGTTAGAATTCATTTCAATTCCGAGTACGATTACTCGTGACAGCAATTGTAATACATCCGTTCCGCCATCGAAGACACCGCGAAATTTTAAATTATTAGCGGATCCGCAGCTGATAAAATGTGGTGCCAAGTTATACCGTTACGATGGAATTGTGCCTGGAGACCCAACTTACCCAACAATTACGCCACGGGACCCACGAAATCCACTGATTCGAATACGTGCCAGACCTGTTGAGCCTGTTGCATTACTTGTGCCTCGGTAAGCAGCTCGATAGCTAAATATACATCAAATATCAAACGGCGACATTTCTTATGCAGGCTTGTGATAGATTCCAACTACGTAGGACAACCACCAGCAACTGAAGTAACAGTGATCAACTTAAACGACAACATTGATAAGCAGTTCTTATCAAATATGTTGGAAAAGTGTGGTTCGGTTGATGAAATAAACATTTACCATCACCCGATGACGAACAAACACCTCGGTGTTGCGCGCATTGTTTTCGAGAGCACAAAAGGAGCGCGCCAATTTGTCGAAAAATATAATCAAAAGTCTGTTATGGGAAAGGTGTGTAGTTTGAAGGTTTCAACTCAATCTTGAGTTTTTGATTTTTGAATAATTATTTTTCTGTCTCAGATTTTGAATGTTTTTTGCGATCCATTTGGTACCGTGTTAAAGAAAACTATTGATAATTTGACGAATCCCATGGCTCCAAAACCAATTGTCCCAACCATTTCTCACCAAACAACGAAGCAGGTAGCTATACAGGGTGAATATGGCCATGATTACAAAGAGCTAAATGGAATGAAAAAGTTTAGCAGCATTGACTATGATTTGTATCACAAAGGTACGGAATTCGGAGAACATGATCGTAAATGGGAACGCGATCATGATCGTTATTTAAAAAATCGATCTATTGAAAAGCCGTATGAGCGGGAACATGGAACACGCGATAAATACACATCCTCTCTTCGTCACGATCGACACTACCATAGTCGGCGCTCTCGGGAAAAAAGCCCAGAGCCCAACAGAGACAGACTGTTCAACAGTAGAGAAAGGGATCGCGACGTCAGATCAGGAAACTATTTACGGTCAAGGGAACGCGATAAGTTTCGAGATCGCAATAGCTTAAGAGATCGGCCTCGCGATCAGTTAAGAGAGTCAAGAGACTATCGTTTAAGCTCATCGCGAGAACAAGATTATCGGGAACGGGACCGAGATCGACCAAATAAAATTGAACATAAAGACGCTGTATCATCAAAGTACTCTAAGCGGTACTTAAGTCGCGAATACAATGAGATTAAAGGTGGATGTTCAAAATCGAACTCATATTATGCGGAAACCCCTGTGTCTAGTTTATCACAAGACGATGCCTATGGATATAGTAGCTATAGTTACACAATGTCAGATCGTATTCAAACCTGGTCTAGCTCACACAGATCCTGGATTGCCCCACAGCCCAATTCTTTGCCACAGCCACCACCGCCTCCACCACCGGAAGAAGAAGAAAACTGGGATGAACCTCAAGCACCCCGCGAAACTCTTAATAAAAAGGCTCCAAGCCAAAACTCTTCTTCATGCAAAAAGTTACAAATTCCAAGTACATTAAAAATTAAGAAACCGATGAGCGGCTCTGTGAAAGATACAGACTCGGGAAATGTAGACTTAGATACCCGTATCGCTTTAATATTTAAAGGCAAAACATTTGGGAATGCACCACCTTTTCTACAAATGGATAGCAGTGATTCAGATACTGATAAAGTAAAAGTTGATGAGGTGGAAAACCCATATGTGCAAAGAGATGCAGCATTTACGAATAAATGCAAACAAATACAAGAAATTAACAAAACTTTAGCTTTGCAGCAACATGATGCTAGCGACATTTCAAGTGACGATGATATTTTAGTCAAAAAAGAAACTACGAGTCTTATTGTTTCCAAAGATCAGTCGGAGCAAATTATGGATGACAATATGTCACTGTCCAGCTTATCTTCACACGAGGAATCAACAAACGCATCTCCAAAATTAATAGATCAACCAAATTCATCTGTATTGACGAAAGTAGTCTCATATATTTATCCTCAACCAGGAGATCAAAATAATTACTATTACCAGAACTCTTCATACGGACACTACGCTTCATCAATGACAGTAAACTCAGCATTATCGGGAGGCTATATGTCAAACACTAACTACATCCAATCACCGTACTTGTCGGGAATAGTACCTTCTGATGCATTCAGTTTAAATCCTTACGTCCAAGCCTATGGTTGTCAACACTTGCAGACCAGTCAGAATGACGAGGTAAAACAAAATGTAAGAAAAGTTATGGACTGCATTGTTGATGAATTAAAACAAATTCTGAAGCGAGATGTAAACAAACGCATGATTGAAACAACGGCTTTCAAAAGCTTTGAAGCTTGGTGGGACGAGCAAACGACAAAGGCCCGTTCTAAACAGTTTTCATCCATAGATAAATCCATCGTCCCAACATCTGTAAATCTTGATAAAAATACCAGTCGTGAAAAGCCTCCTGATATCAATCAGCTTATCAATACGCAACGAATTATATCAGATTTTCAGTCCTTTTCTGGCATTGGGATCAGGGCCACAATGCCAAAGATGCCTTCTTTCCGTCGCGTTCGTAAGCATGCTAGTCCTGCTCCCAACCAAAAAAGTGGAGCAGAAAAGGATCTCAGTGACCAAGAAGAAATGGTTCAATGTTCTGATTCGGAAAAGGAAGACTCCAACATGGGAAACTCGGATGCTCCTGGTACCAAACTAAAAAGCTGCAATTACGAAAAGGAAAGTACCAAGCACCAAGACAACATCCAATCACAACGAAAGGGAAGTGCATCCAGTTTTTTTTCTTCGTCTTCATCTTCATCGTCTACTAGTGACAATGACGCAGATGAAGACGATGAAGCTGAAAATGAAAGGAGTAGTGATGATAGCAGTGAGAACCGATCACGCAAGCCACACCCGCCACGAAGTAATCTACGAAACTTGTATTCAGACTCTGAAGAAGAGGATAAATTGTTTGCTAATACAATTGAGAATGAGCGGACAAATAAAATGGATATTTACTCCGACACGGATGAGGAGGATTATAGAAAGGCAAAAGCTGATGTAATACCTTTAAACCGAGCCAATCATATGATTTCATCGATACCTTCAGACCTTGAAGATATCAGCAAAGATAGTAGTTTGGGGGATCTAGAATCAAAACATAACTCAATGCTCAAATCAGCCGATAAGACCGATGAAGAATCTCGACGATCACCTACACCAGTTCCCCCTCCAGATTACAATGAGGAGACTGTCGAAGAATGTAACGATAAAAGAAAGTGCAAATCACAATTTGAATATGATCGCATTTACAGCGACTCCGATGAAGAACGTGAATATCAAGAAAGGAGACGTAGAAATACCGAGTACATGGCTCAGATTGAACGTGAATTCTTAGAAGAGCAGCAAAAGAAACTACACCAGATCACTGAAAGTTCAAAATCTGACCTAAAACTAGATATTGTGAGCTCAGCATGTGTTGGAATGCCTGAAACTCCTGATATTTCTAAACCCCCTCCTACACCTGGTGTGAAATTATTAAATAATTTTGTTGACGATGTACTCTCGTATAGTGTGAGCAAGGGGAAGACTAACACTGTTAAGAACAAAGACATTGATATTCAAAAGAACAACCAAACAGATCTAAACGAAGATCAAGAAAAATGTCATAAAAATGCCGATATTTTTGCAAATGAAGTTAATCCTAACACATTAGTAAATGGAAAAACTCCATCGTCTCCATTGGTTGATAGTAATCAAATTAACAAAGGAAAGCAGTCACCCGCCTCTTCCGACAGCGGATCTAGTCAAGTGTCTCAAGCCAGTCAAGTGGCACTGGAGCACTGCTATTCACTGCCTCCGCAAGCTCAGGCTATTCTTCCAAATAGTGGTTCGTCTGTAATGTTAGATGTTAAGAAGGAAAGAGCATCTGAAAACGACATACATAATACTAACGTCCAACAGGCATCTAGACCTGGTCCAGGTAGGCCTCGTAAAGAACCAGCACGTATTCAAAAACGAAGGAAGGAGTCTGTGACACGTCGATCAAATGCAAAAATAAAAACAGAGTTAAGAGATTCCGCAGCGGAAGTAGCTCGGCAAATAGCAAACTTTGTCCCTTACGAAATGTATGATTTACGTGATCAAAATGAGGAAATGGTTATCCTTTATGCATTCCTCACGAAAGGCATCGATGCTGAAGACATAAAATACGTAAAGACAAGTTACATTGAGCATTTGCAGAAGGAGCCCTATGCGTAAGTGGATCAATTTTCTTAAGTATATACAATTTAGCTTATATATTAAAGTTAAAAAATGGGTATATCCCGCCAAGGATAAATAAGCCCAACGTGAGCACACACTTCAAAGCCAGACAATAATATGTGTAGTAAAAAATAACTTTTCTATCGAACTTATCCTCATTAAATATTTAATGAAACGAATTTTAAAGAAAATGCCTTGGCATTTGTGGTGATAGGTCAACTGAAGTTATTGCTTAAATGTAACACCTGTCCATGCTCTGCTAGCAGCTACTTTTGTTGTAGCCGCATTGGCTCAACTCTGTATTGCACGCAAAAGCAGAAAACCCGATGCAAATTTGGCCAATTGACAACGCACATCAATAGACGTACATAGTTTGTTTAAATTTAGACGTAATACTAAACAATTTTAAAAACATTTAAAAAGAAAAAGAATGGCACTCTGGCTTACACTCTGGCATTTCATTTTTAGTTGTTGTTCAAATATGTATTCTTTATAGTAAAGGTATATACTTGTAGATATATTTTAAATGTCTTTACTAAAATGCAATATTTTCCAATTTTAGGATGTTTCTTAACAATACGCATTGGGTGGATCACTGCACGACGGATAGGACGTTCTGGCCGCCTCCTCCTAAAAAGCGTAAAAAGGATGATGATCTGTTGCGCCATAAAACTGGTTGTGCCAGAACGGAAGGATATTACAAACTGGACGTTCGAGAAAAAGCGAAACACAAGTATCACCATACAAAGGCCAACTTAGACGACGCACGCAACGAAGATCGCTGCGATGAGCCAACTGCTCTTACTAATCACCATCATAATAAGCTTATCTCCAAAATGCAAGGAATATCGCGGGAAGCGCGCTCAAATCAGAGGCGCCTTCTAACCGCTTTTGGCTCAATGGCTGAGTCCGAGTTATTGAAGTTTAACCAGCTCAAGTTTCGAAAAAAACAACTCAAGTTTGCCAAATCTGCCATACATGATTGGGGGCTGTTTGCGATGGAACCAATAGCAGCAGATGAAATGGTTATCGAATATGTCGGTCAAATGATTCGACCGATTGTTGCTGATTTAAGGGAGACAAAATACGAGGCGATTGGCATTGGAAGCTCCTATCTATTCCGAATTGACATGGAAACCATTATTGACGCAACAAAATGTGGTAACTTGGCGCGATTTATTAATCACAGTTGCAATGTGAGTAAAATGCGTGATGATTGTCAATATTTCGGAAATTTATTTTAAATAATTTTTTTTTTCCCATTTTAGCCCAACTGTTATGCTAAGGTTATCACAATTGAATCGGAGAAAAAGATTGTTATATATTCAAAGCAACCTATTGGGGTTAATGAAGAAATAACATATGACTATAAATTTCCGTTAGAGGACGAAAAGATTCCATGCCTTTGCGGGGCTCAAGGTTGCAGAGGAACGCTTAATTAAACGAGAAAATATATAGTACACATACACACGTATGATTATTTATTTATGTTTTGGAATATACAAGGTTATTTTCGAAAACGAGTTTGAATAAACAAATTTGAACACAAATGTACATATTTTAGTCAAACAAAATTTTTGTTAATATTAGTTAATTAGTAATTCCTTAAAATTATACCACTTAAAATCATAGTAAAAATAATATAATTAATCTATAACTGCTTTTATGTTTTTAGTTGTATCCTATAAATACAGACATCCGGCATGATAAATATAGGCATAAGTAAAATTCTAATGTGAATATTCAATATTAAAATAAAAAAAAGTGGCCACGCATGGTTATTATATAAATACACACCTACATAAGACGAATAAATAAATGTTGCAGTTGCAAAATAATTTCTTTGTTTGAATGTCTTTTACGTATTAAGTAGCAGCGCAGAATACATGCATACGTGCTACTTGGGTAGATAATAATAGGTCCCTAACAGCGACACTTATTCACATTCTAAATTATTTATGTTGGCGTTAGGTTCCAAATGCATTTTCTCGTCCAGTCTGCTCGCTCAATAAACTTAAATGTTTATTGTACTACTTGAGTAATTATGATGAATTTTAATTTTTATAATCACATCAGTTAAATAAAAAATATGTAATTTTTAGAATTAGCGATTTCGTTGTTAAGTTTTAACATCTTAATGGTCCCAAATTAAATTCACTTAGGAAAAAACTCGACTTAAAACATACCCGACTTTCTCATACATACAGGTAGGTATGTGCTCTTTTTAAAACAAACACCAACTTTCCAACTATAATAAAAATGTGCGTTATTCTTTATACATCAATATTAATATATATAGTATTTGAAAACTTCGCTTAAGACTTGCGTTTATAATTGGTTCGCGGAGTGCACTTTATTTTGATTCAAAATAAAACTATATAGCTTTTATAAAGTCTTCTAAGTTACAAATTGGGAGAATATTAAAGCCAATGATTTATCATCGGGTTATTTGAGTATGTATTCAAGAAACAGCAACATTTTTCACAATATTTTCCCTAAACGTACAAGCTACAGCAGATTAATTAAGCAATAAGAGTTAGATACGTAGTAGTACGTGGATAAAGTCAATAACAGTCAAAGTAAAAGGTGAATCTCATTTTCGGATATATTATTTATTATTATTTGTAGTTCTTAGAGATTATTTGTAGAAGAAACTATTAATATATTCTTCAGGTTATGTTTTGCGTTCAAATAAAGCGCGATACTTTCTAGTAATCATGACTGTGAAATAACGACGAGTCGACTTAGTCATGCCCGTCTAAATGAATAAAAGCTAGAATCAATCTTGGTACGTATATTTCCCCTAAGCAGGATCAGCTTTTGTTTTTAAATAACTCCGGTAATTTTGCAGCTGTTAGATCCAAAATTTGATAATCACATCTGGTTAATGCCAATAATTTCTAATTCATAGAAATTCTGAATGAAGTTATAGCCATAAAAGCAATCTCTGCCCATGCTGAGCCAAGAGCTACTGTTGGTGTTGCTGATATATACTGTATGCTGTACGTGTAGACATGTGTTTAAACATTTTTTGTTTTAATTTTGTTCTTTTCATTTCGTTATTTAAAAAAACAAATTAGTTTAAAAGATATTTTTATATATTTTTTTGTATAAGGCAATTGGTAGTGGGTCATGCTCTTTATTTGTTATTAAGAATGTAAGCGTAAATGTAGAACTGCCCTAAAGTAATAATAACCAGTTTAAGGTGACTTCACAAATTTATATAAGTAACATAGTATGTATATAAATCAACATCATCCCATTTTTGGTCCTGTCCAAAGCGCTCTTTTTCGAATTTATATTCCTTTTAAAAGTGGGAACAATTTTATATGAGTCGGGTCCGTACAACTTTAATATTTAATTCTTGTTAAATATTGCTTTATCAATAAAAGTCCAATCCATCTAATACTCTGATTCTATAGTATAGTAATTTAAGGCAGATATACCAAGGTTTATAAGCCGCAGGATGAAACGTGTTCTTTTTTTGTTGCTTTTGACGATAAAGTAAGCAAATAACATGACATCTCTGCATATATTGATGTGTTGGTAAAAGCAGAGCATTGTACCGTAAGCTTACCCCTATTTGGTATATAAATAAATAGTTTTATATTTATGTAAAGTATTTGGTTTGGTAAGAATAGTTTCATTTATAAATCACCACCGTTTGCTGATTAGGGGAATAGTTACCAATATGTAAATTCAATGCTGAATAAATGAATACAATACTAAATAAATCTGTAAAATATTCCAAAGCAAAATTTTATCTTTACAAGACGAAACAACTGCAAAAAATACAGAAACTAAAACCGTTACTTTGTGGATTTCAAAAAGGTTCTTGTAATACTTGTATACTCTAAAAGTGCAAGGGAGAGCGTAACTGAAACTGGAAGAAAGAACGCAAAAAAATTAAATGAAAAATCGTAATTAGCCATTGTGTTGATTCAAACTGAACGAATGCCGTTTAACTACAAATACATTCAAATTCGTCCTCTTAGTTACTTTAGGTTTGCGCCAATACATGCAAATTTAAAATGAAGACATTGCATTTCCTCCAGTTTTTTTGCTTTGATCAAATACAAGAGAGAATGCTACAGTCGAGCAAGCCCGACACTAAAATACCCTATACCCACTCCCACAAAAAAAAGCAAGAAAAGAATGCTAAAGTCGAACGAGCTCAACTCTAAAATACCCTGTACCTCCCAACAAAAAGGGAAAAATTTAAAAATGGAAATACATGATTTCAAAATTCCATGAATTACGGCAAAAAAAAAACAAGAATTGTGAGGGATGGGTGAATCAGAATAAAAAAACAAACTTGATCTGCATAGGGCTTACGGGAACCTGGATACCAAGTTTGGTAATTCTAGCTCTTGTATCTTCTGAGCTCCTTTCTATCACACAGACGGACGTACGGACAGACGGACACGGCTATATCGACTCGTCACACTAATCAAAAATATACACATATACTTTTGGGAGTCTGCCACGCCTCCTTCTGTGTGTTACATACATTCAACCACATCAGCGACAACAACAACTGCTACGGGCAGTGCCTGAGCAGAGATAACTTATATGGCTATAACTTCCTTTAAAATCGGCCTATCATGATGACTTAGCATACGGACTCATAATCACTAACTGAAGGTATTTGCCAAATTTCAGATCTAAATTCCAAGACTTACGGGAATTATGGAAAATTAGCAATTGTAGTGGAGAGGGGGATGGAGGGAAATTATAAAATACGAATTTTGTGTCCCTAGGTTATATGGTCTCCGAGATATAGGTTATTAAACAAACGGCGTTTGGTGTCTCTAGCTCTTATAGTATCTGAGATCCAGGTGTTCATACGGACGGACAGACAGACATAGATCGACTTGTCTTGTCATACTGATCAAGAATATACTATACATATATATTTTGTGGGGTCTGCCTCATCTCCTTCTGCCTGTTACATTTTTCAGCTCGTGCAAACCTAATGTACACACTCTTGTATATTTCATTTACAAAGTATAACTAGACTAACTAACTAAACTAACCTTTAGTCGGTCAAGCCCGACAGTAAAATACCCTGTACCCATCCCCAAAAAAGAGGACAAAATTTTTGTAATTTTTTAAAAATGAATTTAAAAACAACATAGAACGCTACAGTCGAGCAAGCCCGACAGTAAAATAGCCTGTACTCCCCACAAAAAAGAAAAATTAAAAAAGATATATAAAAAAAATTAAATTAATTTATTAAATTAATTAAGAACATTTATTTAATACATACATAGAAGAATTGTTTATGTACAGTTTTACATTTACATCACGTGTCTATTTGTATTTATATGCGTGTATGTATGTAGCACAAAGTTGAACCAAAGCAGCAACAACAACAGATGCGGGCAGAGCTGCAAGCAGAGCATGAGCAGCGATTTTATTTATGGCTATAACTTTCTTCAGAATTGACCTATCATGATGAAATTCGGCATACGGACACATAAGCACTAACTGGACGTAACTACTAAAACTGATTTCCAAATTCCAAGAATTACGGAAGTTATAAAAAATACACGAATTGCGGGGGAGTGGGGGGGGGGTGTATCAGAATAAAAAAATAAACTTGACCTGCCTAGGGCTTAGGGGAATCTGGATACCAAGTTTGGTAATTCTAGCTCTTGTACCTTCTGAGATCCTTGTGCTCATGCAGACGGACGGACAGACGGACATGTGTTACATATATTCGCACAAAACTAGTATAGCCTTTCACCCTTTGGGTACAGGCTATAACAATATAGAACGTTACAGTCGAGCAAGTCCGATAGTAAACCTACCCTGTACTATACTCTCCACAAAAAAGGAAATTAAAAAATTATTTTTTAAAATTTTATTAAATTATATATAAACCAGTAGAGAAGCTAAAGTCGGGTATCCCGACTTTGAAATACTCTGTACATATGTGTAGAATAATTATGCGTGTATGTGTGTATTTGTGTGTGTCTGTGTATGTCTCGTGTGCCTGAGCAAAGCAGTAACAACAGCTGCGGGAACTACTTGGTCTTATGTACATATATGGCTATAACTTCCTGTTAAATCGGTCTATCATGATGAAACTTAGCATTTGGATTTATAATAACTAAATGGAGGTATTTGCAAAGTTTAAGTTCGAAAGTCTTAGAATTACGGGAGTTACGATTTGCGGCGGAAAAGGGGGAGAGAGGGAAATTCCAAAATACACATTTTCTGCGTATTCACATAAGGCATCTGGGACTAATATTTGGTGTCCGTAGGCCTTATAGTCTCCGATTATGCGAATGGAAATGTGGAAAGTGGGGGGGAAAATCAAAAAAAAAAAAAAAAAAAAACTTGCACAGCGTACATACATAAGGCATCTTTGTGCAAAATTTGGTGTCTCTAGCTCTTATAGTCTCTGAGATCCAGGTGTTCATACGGACGGACAGACAGACATAGATCGACTTGTCTTGTCATACTGATCAAGAATATATATACTTTGTGGGGACTGCCACGCATCCTTTTGCCTGTTGTATATTTCATGTACAGAGCATAAAAATTTAACACATGCATACATAAATAAGTGTTTATGTACAATTTACATCAGAATCGTGTCTCTGTGTGTTTATATGCGTGTATGTATGACCAATCATGATGAAACTAACATACGGACACATAATCACTAACTGGATGTAGTTACCAACTTTTAGTTTGAAATTCCAAAAATTACGGGAGTTATGGAAAAAATTGCACTAACTCGTCCTTTCTCGGACTTAGGAGAATCTAGATACCAAATTTGGATATTCTAGCTGTTATACTTTCTGAGATCCTTGCCTTCATACAGACGGACGGACATGGCTATATAGACTCGGCTTGTCACCCTGATCAATAATATATATATTTTGTGAGGACTGCCATGCCTCCTTCTGTCTCTTACATACATTCGCACAAAGCTAGTATACCCTTTCACTCTTTGGGTACATGGTATAACAATTAATTTCCCTCCATCCCCCTCTCCACTACAATTGCTGATTTTCCATAATTCCCGTAAGTCTTGGAATTTAGAACTGGAATTTGGCAAATACCTTCAGTTAGTGATTATGAGTCCGAATGCTAAGTCATCATGATAGGCCGGTTTTAAAGGAAGTTATAGCCATATAAGTTATCTCTGCTCAAGCACTGCCCGTAGCAGTTGTTGATGTCGCTGCTGTGGTTGAATGTATGTAACACACAGAAGGAAGCGTGGCAGACTTACAAAAGTATATATGTATATTATTGATTAGTGTGACGAGGCGATATAGCCGTGTCCGTCTGTCCGTACGTCCGTCTGTGGGATAAAAAGGAGCTCAAATGATACAAGAGCTAGAATTGCCAAACTTGGTATCCAGGTTCCCCTAAGCCCTATGCAGATCAAGTTTGTTATTTTTTTGATGCATATTCTGAAGTTATAGCCACAGTTATAAACATAGTCTCTGCCGAAACTCTGCTCGCAGCTGTTGTTGTTGTTGCTGCTTTGGTTCACGATTCTGATGTAAATGTTTTACTGTTGAATATGTCTCTACTTTTGTATGTATGTATTGAATAATTTGTACCTAATTTAATTCATATAATTTATTAAAATTAATTTTGTAAATATATTTTTATTTTTGGGAGGTACAGGGTATTTAAGAGTTGATCTTGCTCGACTTTAGCATTCCTTTCTTGTTTCACTTAATTTTTCGAATATATAGTTTTTAATTTTATTATTTTTGTTGGGTGGTACAGTGTATTTTAGAGTACTTTAGCATTCCTTTCTTGTTTTAGTTTGTTTAATTATTCTACACAAATGTACACGGTATATCAAAGGCGGAACACCCGACTTTAGCTTCTTCACTTGTTTATTTTGGCTTCATAAATTAATGAATATAAAAAAATTTTTCCGTAGAATTATGTATATATTAAAAAACAATTGAAATCTAAACTTGTTTTCATGCTTTATTAAATTGAATCGGCCAATTAAGTGCTCTGTTGCCAAAAAACGTTGATAAAATGCTGTTAAAAAGCATTTTTTTTGTATTTAAAACCAATATGCTGAAAACAAGCACGACAAGACTCTTAAATAATAACAGTTTTATTTTAAAATAAAAATATCGTAAAATATAAACCAAAATAAATGAAATAAAATATAACAATATTTTATTTTTATTTATATGCATATTCTCGATAGAATTTATTCGCAGCGTATATATATGTGTGTATGTATCTGTATGTACCTTTAATCAAAGCAGGGTTAAATATAACAGGTCCTGAAAGAGAAAGGCCAGTCAATGTAGTTTTAAATTTCTTTTGGGAGTGGCATTTCAAAATTAGACTTGACTTAAAGAAAATAACTACTTATATCGAATGATCTTGCCAAGCTGGTCGCGCATACATGTATATAGCTTGAGAGGTCTGCTCTTCTTCTCCCGGAGTATTTCACAAATTTGCACCAATAAAATATTGGTGCAATTTTGCATTGACTTGCCCTTTTAGTAACTTATCCTTTTGCAGATTCAACATATTCAATATATCTTAATATTAAGGAATATAATTTTAATGTTATTTGAGTTTATTTTTAAACATCGACTATCCTTTATTTTTGCTTTGAACAACGTTCTGCAAGTCCGGTGGTACCTCCATGTCCAGGAATTGATGCCTATAATTGGTATACATATTACATATTTTTATGGTAGGTTTTTTTGTACATACCTGACCAGGTGCCGAATTTGATCTACCAGCCCGAATAAATCGTTCCAAACGGGATCCGCCTCTTTGAGGAGCTCTGCCGGAGATAGCTCTCATAAAAGGATTCCCGAACGAATGATTTTTTAGCATTGTTTTTATTAATATAAGTGTGTCAAGTTTTGGAATGCTACGCACGACAGAGTTTATGTCCTCGTCATCGACTTGCACTAAGCGGCAGTTTTCATCTTCAGTTGGTAATGGACAGGTTCCACAAGCTGTTACCCAATCGTTCATCTAAAATATTAATTTGTTAAGTAAATTTATAGCGAGTATTTTGTTATCTATATTAATATTATAAAGAGGAAAGATTTGATTGTTTGTTTGTTTGAATTGAAAAGGCTCCGAATCTACTGGACCGATTTAATGGATTCTTTCACTGTTGGGAAGCTACACTATCTAGCTACACTAAAAGAAAGAATGGAATCCTTACTAAAACGCCAAAACGCCAGTAACCAAAGGTGTAAAAAAATAACCTTAAAAAACACCTGAATAGCATGCTGTTAGTTCATAATCATCCTCGAAACGTTGTCACCTTAAATATTAAGGCAATATTATTCAAAAGCCCCAGCCAAATAAAAAACAAGTAAAAAAGCTAAACGCGGGTGTCCCGACTTTGAAATACTCTGTACATATGTTTACAATAATTATAGAAAATAAAAAAAATTAAGCAAATAAAAAAAAAATTTTTGATCGATTTTACCTTTCTCGGTATTCGAACTCACGTAAAGGGTTTATAATTGCACATTTACATAGCAATTGCGTCTGTGTGAGTGTATGTATGCCTATGCGCATCTATTCGTGTCTGTGTAAACATGTGTGCAGTCAACCAAACACCAGCATCAACAACAGCCGCGGGCAGCGCTTGAGCAGCGCTGCAGCAGCAAATATATTTATGGCTATAACTTCTCGTTAAATCGGTCTATCATAGTGAAACTTGGCATACGGACACATAATAACCAACTGGGGGTATTTCCAAAATTTTTAGTTAGTTCGAAATTCCAAGAATTACGGGAGTTAGAGAAAATCGCAATTGCGGTGGAGAGGGGAGAGGGAGGGAAATTCCAAAATATACAATTTCTGCGTATTCACATAAGGCATCTTGGACTAAAATTTGGTGTTCCTAGGTCTTATAGTCTCTTAGATATAGGCGATTATACGAATGGAAAATCGGGAAAACCCCCATAGGGGGGAAGTGGGGGAGAAAATCAAAAAAATAAAACAAACTCGTATAGAATACACACATAACGCATCTTTGTGCAAAATTTGGTGTCTCTATCTCTTAGTCTCTGAGATCCAGGTGTTCATACGGACGGACAGACGGACAGACAGATAGCCAGGGCTAGATCGACTCGTCTCGTCATGCTGATCAAGAATATATATACTTTGTGGGGTCTGCCACGCCTCCTTCTGCCTGTTACATTTTTCAGCTCCCGCAAACCTAATATACTTCTGTACATTTCATGTACAGAGTATAATTACAAATCGATCGACACCGTGATTAATATTGAAGACATTTAAATTCACTAAGCCCTTCTGGATTGCCGCCACATGAATTGACGGTAGAATTCGGAATTGCAATCATGCTTTTGAGAAATTAAAGCCTTCCAAGCATGTGCAATGGGACAACGCTGATTATTAAGGAATTGCAGGAAAATTTAAGTGTAGCAACTATTATCAACGTCCCAGCAACTGGTCAACTAGCTCATATAACGAGGATACCGATGATCCCATTTGATCATTTATATGGCTTAAATTTCCGGTAGTCCCAAGGCCAAGCCTTCGAATTAGTAGGGATCCACATACGAAAGCAATGTTTTACGGTATGTTGACCTATCACGGGTCGGAGCTCCTGAAAATCAATTTATTTTTCTACCACAGATCTCAGAGACTACAAGAGATAGAGACACCACTTCCCCCCTATGGGGGTTTTCCCGATTTTCCATTCGTATAATCGCCTATATCTAAGAGACTATAAGACCTAGGAACACCAAATTTTAGTCCAAGATGCCTTATGTGAATACGCAGAAATTGTATATTTTGGAATTTCCCTCCCTCTCCCCTCTCCACCGCAATTGCGATTTTCTCTAACTCCCGTAATTCTTGGAATTTCGAACTAAAATATTGCAAATACCCCAGTTAGTTATTATGTGTCCGTATACCAAGTTTCATTATGATAGAATGATCAGAAAGAAAGTTATAGCCATATAACCAGGCCCAATGCACACATACATACATATGTACAAGTACACAAACACGCATAAGGCACGATTCTGATGTAAATGTATGTATGCATGCATGGAATATTTTATATTTAATTTAGTTAATTAAATTAATTAATTAATTAATTTAATTAAATTAATTTAATTACTTTTTTGTGGGGTGGTACAGGGTATTTAAGAGTTGAGCCTGCTCGACTTTAGCATTCCTTTCTTGTTTTTTAATGTTCTTAATTTTTTCAATTTTCTATAATTATTGTAAACATATGTACGGAGTATTTCAAAGTCGGGACAACCGATTTTAGCGTTTTTACTTTTTTTTATAAATTCCGTAATTCTTGGAATTTTGGTAGTTACGTCCAGTTAGTGCTAATGTGTTCGTGTTCCAAGTTTCATCATGATAGGTCAATTCTGAAGAAAGTTATAGCCATAAATAAAATCGCTGCTCATGCGATGCCTGCAGCTCTGACGGCAGCTGTTGTTGTTGCTGCTTTGGTTCAACTTTGTGCTGCATACATACACGCATATAAACACGCATAGACACGTGATGGAAATGTATGCTGTTAAAACTGAACATAAACATGTCTTCTATGTATGTATTAAATAAATTTTCTTTATTAATTTAATTAATTAATTCAATTTTTTTTAAATAATTTGATTTAATTTTTTTTTTTTAATTTTCCTTTTTTGTGGAGCACAGGTTATTTTACTGTCGGGCTTGCTCGACTGTAGCGTTCTCTCTTGTTTTAATTTCTATAATTATTCTAAACATACAAGGTGTGTTCCAAAGAAAACAGCACTTTTAAAAAAAAATCAATTTATTTTATTCAAAATAGTCTCCTGCTTCAATACAGCTTTTTGCACGATCTAAAAGCATGTCGAACGAGTCTTTTAGCTCGTTGGCTGGTATGGCCGCCAGTATGCCGGTGCAAGCCGTTTGAATGGCCTCTACGTCTGCATAACGCTTTCCTTTCATGGGCAAATGCATTTTTCCGAAAAGGTAGAAGTCGCACGGTGCCATATCAGGAGAATACGGCGAGTGGTTAATGGTTAAAATGTGATTTTTGGTCAAATAATCGGTAACAAGCGTCGATCGATGAGAGCAATTTTTGGTCGTCATTCAATTTGTGCGGAACAAACCGTGCACACACCTTTCGTAAGCCCAAATGTTCGGTCAAAATGCGATAAATCGATGTTTTGGAGATGTTCAATTCCATTTCCATCAATTTAAATGATGATTTCGGCTGATTTTTGATGAATTCACGCACAGTTTCGATGGAGTTTTCGGTGATCACGAATTTTGATTGGCCCACATGTTGATCGTCATTTATGTCCTCTCGACCACTTTGAAAACGTTGAAACCACTCGTGCACTCTGCTACGGGATGGGCAATCATCGCCATAAACTTGTTCCATCAATTGAAACATTTCGATAAAAGTTTTACCAATTTTAAAACAAAATTTAATGTTGGCTCTTTGTTCATTTTCGCACCGATAACATGTCATACTGACACTTAAAACGCAATAACTTCACTTCCATTCGATGAAATGTCATGAAATTCTCACTGGACAATCGATAAAGATAGGAGATTCTATATTCAAAAAGTCCTGTTTACTTTGGAACGCACCTTTTATGTACAGAGTATTTCAAAGTCGGAACACCCGACTTTAGCTTTTTTACTTGTTTATTATAAGTTAATTGTACAATATTGTTTATTATTATTATTTATTATTAATTCCTAGTGCGACAAGAAAGATTCTTATAAATTAATGCACTAGTCACAAAAATTATATTTCCTTAGATATTAAAATTCAAGTGATTTGATTAGCCTACTTAACCTAATTTTATTATATACATTTAGTTATACATACATTTAAAGTGTTTTGGTTTTTTTATACTCTGTACATGAAATGTACAAGAGTATATTAGGTTTGCGGGAGCTGAAAAATGTAACAGGCAGAAGGAGGCGTGGCAGACCTCACAAAGTATATATAGTCTTGATCAGCGTGACAAGACGAGTCGATCTAGCTCTGTCTGTCCGTCTGTCCGTCCGTATGAACACCTGGATCTCAGAGACTATAAGAGATAGAGACACCAAATTTTGCACAAAGATGCGTTATGTGTGTATTCTATACGAGTTTGTTTTATTTTTTTGATTTTCCCCCCACTTCCCCCCTATGGGGGTTTTCCCGATTTTCCATTCGTATAATCGCCTATATCTCGGAGACTATAAGACCGAGGCACACCAAATTTTAGTCCAAGATGCCTTGTGCGAATACGCAGAAAATGTATGTTTTGGAATTTCCCTCCCTCCCCCCTCTCCCCCGCAAATGCGCAAATTTTCTCTAACTCCCGTAATTCTTGGAATTTCGAATACCTCCAGTTAGTAATTATGTGTCCGTATGCCAAGTTTCACTATGATAGACCGATTTACCAAGAAGTTATAGCCATAAATATAGTTGCTGCTGCAGCGCTGCTCAAGCGCTGCCCGCGGCTGTTGTTGATGTTGCTGTTTGGTTGACTGCGAAAATGCTTACACAGATACATACACTCACACAGAGGCAATTGCTATGTAAATGTGTAATTACCCTTTACGTGAGTTCGAATAACGAGAGAGGTAAAATCGATCCAATTTTTTTTTTTCCTTTTTTTTTATTTTTATTTTCTATAATTATTGTAAACATATGTACAGAGTATTTCAAAGTCGGGACACCCGACTTTAGCTTTTTCACTTGTTTTTTATTGTTATTATCGGTATAATCAGTGTTGCCTACTGAGTGTAAATGTATTAGTGTTGGTATTGTGCTCTTTACTTTATTTTTCTTTATGAATTTTCTTGAAAGTGCGCTTGAATTCTATTCTATAACTCGTTCCACAGACGAATAGCAAATATTAAAAAGTGTCTTTCGGAACAAGATAATTTATATCTTATGCAAACTGTTCTTCTTGATGAGGTAAATGAGATTTTGTCATACAAATAATTCGGGTATTTTCGAGTAATGATTCTATGCATAAAAATTAGTGTCCTAAGTTTAATCCCAGAGTTGAGGGTCAGGTTAAAAATTTTTTTCGCGTATCCCGTTATGGATTCTCTTCTTTTAATATCAAAGACATATCTTGCAATGCTGTTGAAGGCTATATTTTATTTGGTCACAGTTTCCGAATATTTCTACTCCATAAAATAATGAGGGTATCAAGTATGTCTCAGCAATAAAGAGCTTGAGTTTGGCCGGGATGAAATGCTGCGTCAAAGAGAGAAGCCTAAGTGCACTATACGTTCTTCCTACGGCATTATTAACATTATTATGCCACGATAGTGTGTCATTAGTGATTATCCCTAAATTATTTGCCTGCCTTACGTATACAATAGGTTCGCCTTTCAGTTGTAACTTGTCTAGATTAAGTGAGTTAATTTTCTTTTTATAAATTATGACTTTTGCTTTGAACCCGAATATGAATATGGAATATGGAAGTTATCTCGCATGGAGTCCAAAAAACAATCATACGCCGACGCATTATACAGCGATCAAGAGCACTAACCGATGATCTGCACACTATTGATACTACATTTACATTTACAAGAAAGCGAATAACGAAAAAACGATTAATCCAAGAATTAAACCTAAAACGTAAATTATTATTAAAAGGTAGCATATGCTCACAAAGCAGAATTACAGGTAGTGGGAGTGCGAAATCCACGCTCATTATAGTGAGCGAGCTGTAAAAGCTCGTCCCTGCTTTGCATAGGCTGCGCACTCTCGTTCTCCCTTATTAATTAATTAAAAATATAATTAAACAAGCTTAATTCGGAAATCTTAACCTTTTCGTGTGTTTTCGAGGAATGTGGACAGTGTTGCCTTTTCCGGATGGATCTGTCCTTTTAAAAATTGATTTAATCTGAATAAATTTCAAACGTCCCCTATCCGGAAATCAATCCTTAATTTTGGGTTTAGCATTTTTCAGAATTTTGAATACCTTGACCTGTAGGGAAAAATAAGTGGAGAAGCTCAAGTCGGGTGTCCCAACTTTGAAATACTCTGTACATATGTGTAGAAGAATTACAAGAACTAAAAATTAAGATGATTAAAAACAAAGTAAAAACATTTAAAGGTTGGATAACTGCACATTTACATAGGAATTGTGTCTATGTGAGTCTATGGGTTTTTATGTCTATGCGTGTCTGTGTCTGAGCATGAATGCAGTACAAAGTTGAACCAAAGCAGCAAAAACAACAACAGCGGTGGGCACTTTTCGTGATTGACCTGTCGTGATGGAACTTGGTATACACGGACACATAACATGACTTCTAGCGGGGGAGTGGGGATGTATTAAAAACAAGAAAGGAATGCTAAAGTCAAGCAGGCTCAACTCTTAAATAACCTGTACCTCCCACCAGAAAGGAAAGAATTTTTAATTAATTTTAAACAATTATATTAATTAAATTAAATACAAATTATTCAATACATATTTACAAGAGCTGCGGGCAGAGCTGCTGGCAGCGATTTTATTTATGGCTATAACTTTCTTCAGAATTGACCAATCATGTTGAAACTTGGCATACGGACACATAATCACTAACTGGAGGTATATTCCAAATTTGAGTTCAAAATTCCAAGAATTACAGTGGTTATGAAAAACAGGAATTGCGGGGTAGTGGGGTGTATCAGAAAAAAAAAAAACAAATCGTCCTTTCCCCGGACTCAGGAGAATCTGGATACAGAGTTTGGTTATTCTAGCTCTTGTACTTGCTGAGATCCTTGCGTTCATAGAATAAAACAAGAAAAGAATGCTAAAGTCGAGCAAGCTCAATTCTTAAATATCCTGTACCTCCCACAAAAAAGGAAAAAATGAAAAAAAAATTTTTAAATATTAAAAAAAATATATATTAATTAAATTAAAGACATGTTCATGTACAGTTTCAACAGCATACATTTACATCAGAATCGTGTCTCTGCGTATTTATATGCGTGTATGTATGCAGCACAAAGTTGAACCCAAGCAGCAGCAACAACAACAGTACAAGCAGAGCATGGGCAGCGATTTTATTTATGGCTATAACTTTCTTTAGAATTGACCTATCATCATGAAACTTGGTATACAGACACATAATCACTAACGGGATGTAGCTACTTGTTTTAGTTCAAAATTCCAAGAACTACGGGAGTTATGGAAAAAAACACGAATTGCGGCGGAGTGGTGGGGTGTATCAGAATAAAAAAAATAAACTTGACCTGCCTAGGGCGTATGGGAATCTGGATACCGAGTTTGGTTATTCTAGCTCTTGTACCTTCTGAGATCCTTGCGCTCATACCGACGGACGGACATGGCTATATCGACTCGGCTTGTCACCCTGATCAAGAATATATATACTTTGTGGGGTCTGCCACGCCTGCTTTTGTGTGTTACATACATTCGCACAAAACTAGTATAGCCTTTCACCCTTTGGGTACAGGCTATAAAAATAAACTTGACCTGCCTAGGACTTAGGGGAACCTCGATACCAAGTTTGGTTATTCTAGCTCTTGTACTTCCTGAGATCCTTGCGCTCATACAGACAGACGGACATGGCTATATCGACTCGTCTTGTCATCCGGATCAATAATATATATGCTTTGTGGGGTCTGCCACACCTCCTTCTGTGTCTTACATACATGCGCACAAAACTACATAGTATAGCCTTTCACCCTTTGGGTACAGGCTATAATAAGGGTGTATGTGTGTTAAGTGTGTGTGTGTTATAAAATATAAAATTTTTAAAATTTTTGTATAAATACCCGTGCGAAGCAGGGGCAGGACGCTAGTAAACTTATAAACAAAGCTATGTTAATATAATCTAACCTTTAGTTCCGGTAAAGTTATTCGCTTAACAGGATCTTTATCAAGCATACGAATAAGACATTGACGCAGCTCGAGGCTTATTTTTGGTTCTGATGGAAAGACAACATCATCATTTTTCACTTTTTCATACAGCGCAGGTATGGAAGTTGCTTGAAAAGGCACGTTTCCAAAAACAAGGGCATACAATGTGGCTCCCAACGCCCATATATCGGCTCCACGTCCACAATACACCATCTAAGAGTAACACGATATTTTATCGGCTGAGTTAACATAAAAAATAATTCATTACCTGGCCTAATACCAATGTTTCCGGGGCTCTAAACGCTGGAGTTCCAGCAGTTGAGCCATTAGTCATTACAGCATTTTCTCCAAGAAACTCATTGCACACACCCAGATCAGCGATTTTGACATGGCCGCACTCTGTCAAGAGCAAATTTCCTGGCTTTATGTCTGCATGGATGATTTTCTGATAGTGCACTTTTAAAGAACAAGACATAAGACATTATTATGAAAACAAGACAGAACAGTAAAGCACGACAGTAAAATACCCTGTACCCACTCCCATAAATAAAAAACCAAATTTTTAATAGTTTTAAAAGGTATTTTTAAGCAAGAAAGGAGCGCAAAAAAAAAAAGTAAAAAAGCTGGGGGCCTCGGTGGCGTAGTGGATAGCGCATGCGCACACCAAACAAGAGGTCGTGGGTTCGAGCCCCACTCATGGCGAGAGCATGACCTAAATTTTCTCCTCTCGAAAAACTCTCCTAAACTACTCATGCCTTCAACGTCGTGGTCATCTATCCACCCAAAAACACATCCATCCACGCTATCTGGACTGCACAATAGTTAAACCCCCCAAGACGTCTCTCCCCGGCGGCGACAGGTGGCAGCCCCACCACTGGGATAAGTCGCATCTGGCCAATCACCAGGTCGACTGACAACTTCATGATTATGGAAACTACTACAAGACAACTGAATCCAAAAAAGGACTCCCACTACTTCGATGTTTGATGTCAAGGATGGCGCTGGAACCCCCAAGGAAGCAGACGGGATCGGCAGACCTAAAAAAGACGGCAACCTGGCGGCGGATGTATCAGGAATTCTCCCAGAAACAACAACACCACATGGGACACAGACAGATGGACGGCTAGAAGTTAGAGTGTTAAGATTGGAAAAAATGTCCTTGTAGTAGCCCTAAGCTCCCAAGTGGAGTACAAAGGAAATCAAAAAAAGCTAAAGTCGGGTGTCCCGACTTTGAAATACTCTGTACATATGTTTACAATAATTATAGAAAGTACAAAAAATTAAGAAAAAAAAAAAAAAATTTGATCGATTTTACCTCTCTCGGTATTCGAACTCACGTAAAGGGTGTATAATTGCACATTTACATAGCAATTGCGTCTGTGTGAGTGTATGTATGCCTATTCGCATCTATTCGTGTCTGTGTAAACATGTGTGCAGTCAACCAAAGCACCAGCATCAACAGCCGCGGGCAGCGCTGCAGCAGCAAATATATTTATGGCTATAACTTCTTGTTTAATCGGTCTATCATAGTGAAACTTGGCATACGGACACATTCGATGGAATTATTGATTGTATCGACGGATTCAACTATCGATAGTTTTGATGCTCTAGCACATAGCCCAAACGGTAAAAGCTAGGAAGCTGAAATTGGACTCAAGTATCCTTTCATAGTATAGGTTGGCGATAAGAAGCGGATTTGGAAAATTCTAGCTCCAAAGGGGGGAAAACATGCTCCAACGTTGGCGTACAGCCCAAACGGCAAAAGCTAGGAAGCTGAATATTGGGAAAAATTTGGTGTCTTTAGCACTGCGTCTATGTGAGTGTATGTATGTTTATGCTCGTATATTCGTGCCTGTGTAAGCATGTTAGCAGTCAACCAAACAGCAACATCAACAGCCGCGGGCAGCGCTGCAGCAGCTAATATATTTATGGCTATACCTTCCTGTTAAATCGGCCTATCATAATGAAACTTGGCATATGGACATATAACCACTTCGAAATTCTAAAAATTACGGGAGTTATGGAAAATCACGAATTTCACAAAATTGCACAGTGTACATACATAAGGTATCTTTGTGCAAAATTTGTCTCTGAGATCTAGGTGATCGTACGGACGGATAGGCCTGTTACATTTTCCACCTTCCGGAAACCTAATATAGTCTTGTACATTTCTTATACAGAGTATAAAATCGATCGCGTTTGATTTTTGCTTCACTTAAATTTTAACATATTAAAATATAATTATATAAGCATTTATTTCATAAACTGATGCATACTTACAATACTCTAGTCCGAGTAGCGCGTCTCGAAAAACACACCACGATCTTTCCTCTGACAATGGTTTATCTGTTGGAATACTAAGAACTTCTCCCTGTTTAACTAACTCGAATACCATGTAAAGGGAGTCTTCTAACGGATCATCAAGGACCTCCACTAATTTAACAATGTTGGGATGATCAAGTTTCTTCAGAACTGCGATTTCCCTATAAACTCGATCCAACGGAGAAGTCGCTTTCTTTGGACCGCGCCTCATCAACCCAGCTTGTCGCAGTAAGCGCCTCTTTGAGAGTATCTTCATTGCATAATGCGTAGAGTCTTCCTCAGAATATGCCAACTTTACCAATCCATAAGAACCCTGATAAAGTATGTTGTTTTGGTACATTTTTGAGATATTCCACAAAATATTGACATATCACCTGTCCAATTTGATCCATGAGCTTGTATTGGTTTAATTGCAAAAAACTACCAGTTTTTTCTATGGAGACTCTTCGTGACTCGCGGAGGGCTGGCCTGCGACGGCAAGACCCAGGACTGCCATAGGGGCTTCCATATGGACTGTATGGAACATTTGGGTAAATTGGCCGAGACTCAACAGGTTTATATTTAGGAGTTTCATTTGGTCTTTGTGGTGGCGGCACACATATATTCTCAGCCGCCATATGGTAGATTTCATCTTCTGTTAGGCTAGCTGGTTTATTAACACTTTTGAATTTGTGTTCACTGGATGAAGGCTTAAAGGCAGTAGATTGGTTATTAATATTCGTGGTACGAGGTGTACTTATTTCTGGTAGCAGATGTGCCTCCACATAAGGACAGGAGTTTAAAAAAAGGTTTTCGCCGTTGTATAAGTCAAGAGACTGGGATTTTTTTAATGTCAGCTGAAGTTGCTTGGAATAATCCCACGTAGGTTTTGCTTTAAGTATCTTAACGTTTTCACTCTCCTGCAGGTACTCTGTAGATTTTGGGTCACTAGCTTTAAAGTATTTACTGGTCAGACTCTGGACATCTAATTTGTTTATCTGAATCGCCTGCTCACTCAATTGGCAAGTTCCTTTATTTTTATTGTACGGAGTTTTTATATCTTCTTCAGAATTTCTGCTCTGATTAAAGTTTAGCACCGTTCCAGCTGTCATAGTGAAATTGGGTTTCTTAAAATCAAGGTGCACTTCTTTTAATTTATTGTTCAAAGTTGTCACTTTGTTATTTTCATGTCCTGCGTCTTCACAACCGCTTTCAGCTTCATCACAGTTGTTACAGCAAATATTTAGGTCATCTTTATTATGTTCTGTTGCATTTTCCCCGAATTCTGCGCCATCTAATTGATCGGACTCTGCAGTAGAGTGTTTTGGAAGCACTTCCCCATCAAATAACAGGCTCACGGTGGTATCATTGTGAACAGGACGCATTGCGATTGAACTCGTTTCAATCCTGACATCTTGTGGCTTAAATTTACTCATATTTAAAATTATGCATCATTTTTAAATGTTTTGAAGATATTAAATAAATGTATTCGCATTGCTTCCTTACGATTAGTACATATACGCACTTAATATATAAATAGAAACATGATAGGAAGAAATGGCGTAAAGATATAAACGATAGCAGGCACATTGGAACAGTGGAATAAGATTTAGTATTTTTCCTGCCAAAGGGCTGTAGTCAGTTTACTGGACTCGTCAATAGACATTTGGTTACACCTAACGGTAACAGGGTATAAAAATATTTTAAAAGTATGTATGTACAAGTACAGGGTGCGCCATCTTTTATGTCGGTATGTAATTAGGCAATTGGTAGTCAAAGCAGCATAGTTTTGTCATGCAAATTGACAAAGTCTATTTTTGTTGTTGAATGAAACAGTTCACTCCACTTGTGTGCTTCTTTGTTATTGCATGACTAAGCTTGTCTGTGATAGTGATCTTGCAAAGCCTTGAATTCTTCGCTCTTTAGCCAAGCATCTCGGCAATTTGGTAGTACATAATTCTGCTTTTACACGTAGATTGGTTCCAGTGCAAAACCGTGTAAAAAAAGACATTGATCAATGACATTGATATGCAAAAATGCTAAAACCTATTAAAATCAGTGAAAAACCAAGGATATATGTTTATTAAAACACATATAATGGGCATAACGACCCACATAAGAATGGTTTTTACCTGTTGGCCAGCTGTGTGTGTTTTTATTTATTCAATTTGTATTTTTAATCGTGCCAAATGGAATTGTTATGTGCGACGCGGCAGTACTGGGAAACGTCAGGAAAAGAAAGTAGAAAAAGGAAGCAAAGTGGAAGATTTAGAACGTGGGAATAGCTGGTGGACAAGGAGAGGATGAGGAAGTACATCTTTAGGAATATCTAGGATTATTAAAACACATATAATGTGCATAACGACCCACATAAGAATGGTTTTTACCTGTTGGCCAGCTGTGTGTGTTTTTATTTATTCAATTTGTATTTTTAATCGTGCCAAATGGAATAAAGTCGTGTAACGATTGTTATGTGCGACGCGGCAGTACTGGGAAACCTCAGGAAAAGAAAGAAGAAAAAGGAAGCAAAGTGGAAGATTTAGAACGTGGGAATAGCTGGTGGACAAGGAGAGGATGAGGAAGTACATCTTTAGGAATATCTAGGATGAGGTAAGTCAGTCGGAAAAGGGCTATGCCAGAAAATAATGTATTGTTACGCATGGTAGGCGATCGGCAACCGTAGCGACGGGCGGTCCTGAAAAGTGGGCTGTGGGCGGCGTGGGCAACGAGCGTAGCCTGGATGCAGGAGGGCTTCATTGTAGCCACGGCAGAAGACAACGCCAACACCGGCCGGCGACGCTGCATCCTGCACGGGGCCTCAGCCGTAATTTGATTCCAATCAGCGTTGCTCTTTTGGACTCGGGCTAAGTACCCCTACGACTATCAGCTTACTGTAGTGTGCATACATAAGGAGTACACACTGTACGCAGTGCACTCTTAAGAACATACACTGTAACACTTTATTGCAGTGAATAAATTAATTCAAAAAGCCAAGCATAATTCGGACGCGATGTAATATGATCGCACATGCATTGGGCGACATAAGTGCAGCGTCAGTGCAACTAGTGTCAGCCACCTCAAGTGCACATAACATTCTCCCTCGCGCTCTCGCTGCCAACAGCGCTGAGTACAAATACATAAGTAAAATACATAATGCGGCCGCTCCGCTGCCGGCGTCTCTGGCAGCGCAGCTACGAGGCCTTAGCTAAGTTCATTTTAAGTAAAATGTAAGAAATCAGTATAAGTTCAAGTTTTAAGTTTGAGTGTCGTAAAATTAATAAATAATTAATAAAAACTCATAATAAAAAACAACGTATATTATTACATGGCGACCGTGACAGTGTCCTACATAGGACCGTGATAGTGGTCCTGGAGGACCAAGGACAGAGGAGCTGATATACCATAAAAACGACCATAATAACGGCAAGAGGACAACTTTAAAATTCGGAAGACGGAGCTTGGCATGGACATCAACACAATAAAAATACTGAGTGAGTAGAGTGCGCGAGTGATGGGTAAACGCGGAGGTGTGCACAATAAAATTAATAAGAGAATAGCACATTTAAAGTGGCTTTTATTCTCAACTGCAACACCACCCGCGTGGACAACGGCCCAAAAATTGCAGGCAGAACTTGACTATTTAAAGTCAATAAGCAAAAATGCGAAACCCGACTCCGCAACTCGCTCCACTCGTATTGAAAATATAAATAAACGTGAATTAATTTTACCGCCTTCACCCAAGCAACTGCCAAGGAACGCAAAAAGCTGCCCAACGGACTGCGAGGGACCATTGCACACCCCACACTGCGAGTACACGTGCCGCCACTGCACGATACGCAATTAGGAGCAGTAAGTGTGAAAGGCATAGGACCGCCTTTTGCACCACCGCTGGAAAAACGCCGACGACAACTGTAAGTGCGGGAGGCAGGCCGCCCCTTGCACCAACGAGGGAGCATCAGCGTGCCACACCGGCGACGCCCAGCTGATGCGGGAATACACCACATCAAATAGCGACAAGTGCGGGAGGCAAACCACCACCAGCGACAACGAGGGAGCATCAGCGTGCCACACCGGCGACGTCCAGCTGATGCGGACGCCACAAGACGACAATCCCAAAAAGGGACACCAGAGGAAAATTTAATGATTAAGCAAAGATAAAAACTTATAATGCAAAATTTGTAATGCATATTTAAGTTAAAATATATATATGTAAGAAAAATTTTAAAAAAATAGCCAATAAGAAAATTGTAAAATAATTAATAAGGAAAATTGTAAAATTGAGCGGAACCTTTTCTGCCCGATTAGAAGTACAGCCCGTAAAGCTGTACGAACAAATAGGCAGGAAAATTGTCAATCTTTTAATAGTATGAATGAGGAGCAATAGTATAAGTAAGATAGATCAGATAGAAATATATAAGCCATATAAAAGTGGCATAGTTACCGATAAAATAAGTAATATACCCAAAATGGGTTTGATAGACACTAAGGTAGTAGATTCCACTGCAGGAATTGTCAATAAGGTGGAATCACAGAAAGTAGATGTAGAAATGATAAATATCCTGTTGGTAGTAATCGTTGTGTTAATGAGTGCGAATTTGTTTTTTAAGCTGTATAAGCTACACAATAAATGCCTAAAAAAAAGAATTCTGAGTAAGGCAAATGACTTAGATAAAATATAAAAAAATATACAGCGATTACTGCCAGCAGCAAAAAAAAATTATTAATAAATAAATATAAATAAAAAAAGGACATTTTTCACCAATGTAAAATTATAATATCAGGTATGCCCAAGAGTGGAAAGAAATCCACACCTAGGTAGAACCAACCACTATGCACAATGGGTAGATGACCAGGACAATAGATTTAAACAGTAAATAATAATTATGAAATATAGGAATAGAATAGAAGAAACATAAATAAATAAAAATTAATAAATAATAAATAAAACATAAAAATTAAAAGTAAAAAAAAGAAAGGGTGTTCAACTTAATTACCTAGGAGTCCAATGAAAAAAAAATCTTGCTGAGCATCAAAATTATCCATAATACATGGACTGGAATGCTATATGCGGGAGAGTGCAAGAGCTGAGAGCTGAATTTGATAAATCATACAAAAGCCTCACTCAAAATAGGCCAATACAGATTGGTACATTGAATAAGCACACCATCAAATTGGTGCATTATTATAACGAGATCCGAGAGATATTCCTAGAAAACAAACCTAGGCTCACGGATCTCCATTGGACTCAGGCTTCAGACGTTGTCAAACGTCTAAGAGAACAGCTGCTCGCTGTTAGAGAAAGACATGGCTTGGATATACACTTGCCAAATGTCATAAGTAGCGTGGCGACATATATAGCTGTGGACGAAGATGAAGTAATGTCTATAAGTCCCAGGTCAAAATCGCCAAATACGGCATATGTCAGCATAATTTCGGAAGAAGATTCCAAAAGCGGACTTACTCCCAATAACAGCCCCGCAAGAAGCGAACCGGCTGACAGCCTCAACGCAATAGTAAACAGCCCGCAGTTGCGAAAAATGTCGCAGACACAGATACAATTCTTAAAAACGGCGTCATCTCTGATACCGGAGTTTGATGGCAAAGCCGAAAATTTGAGAAGCTTCTTGGACGCGTTGCAGTTGGTGGACTCAATTAAAGAGACACACGAGTCAACGGCAGTCCAATTAATAAAAACAAAGCTCAAAGGCAACGCACGCAATTTAATTAGCACTGAGAACTCAATTGCTGAAATTGTTTGCAAACTTTCTGCCACTGTAAAAGGTGACTCAGTTGAGGTTATTACAGCCAAACTGATGAACCTTCAACAGAAGAGCAAGACGGCTAATCAGTATACCCAAGAGGTAGAAAAACTGACAAAGTCTCTAGAGAGTGCATACATAAACGATGGACTTTCATTGGAGATAGCCGCTAAATACAGTACGCAACATGCTGTAAAATCAATGATAAAGAATTGTAACATTGACAGGGTAAAGCTGGTAATGGAGGCCGGCCAATTCAACAATATGAATGAGGCTGTCTCCAAGTTTGTCAATAGTTGTACCGATGCAACTGGACGAACAGATACAATTTTGTATTATAAAAACCAGCAAATAGACAGACGCTTCAGTAATAATCATAGAGCTAGAGGTAATAATAACCATCGCGTTGGAAATAGCTATCGTGGTGGAAATAACTATCGCGGTGGAAATAACTATCGCGGTGGAAATAACTATCGCGGTGGAGATAACCATCGTGGTGGTAGAAACTACCAGAATGGCTACCAACGAAATAACAGAAATTATAACCAAGTCCGACTGGTGCAAACCACGTCGGAAAACCAGTAAAAACCCTTGGGATAAAGAAAACTGTGGAACAAACGGTTCACGCAATAAACCTTAATTTCAATCTTTATGTTACACTAAAAAATGAAGCAACACATAAGTTGTACACATTGCTGGTTGATACAGG